CCCCCCCCTCCCCAACCTCCTTTGCCCCCTCCTATGGGCTCATGACTCTTTCTGAACACTTTCTACTGCTACTTCTTGGCTCCTTTAACTGCTGTCTTTCAGCCACACTCCTGATCTTCTGGTAGAAAAGAAGTACTACAAGCCTTCTCGGACAATGGCAAAGAATCTCGGAGGACCCGTGTGCAAGTTGCGAACGTTAAATATCCCTTGGTGGTCTAAAATCGATAAGAGTAGGCTTTGGCCGACGCCCTGGCGAAATTCAAAATTTCCTGCCAGCTGAACATGTTTAACATGTCCCTCGCGCTCATACTATGACCTTATGCAGTTGCAAGCGCCCTAAAACTCTTACCAAAAAAATAAAAATCGTGGAGGAAATTATAACGATATACCCAAATCAAAACAAGCCTTGTTACACACTGCTTCACTTCATGCCCACATGTAAAAATTAGTTAGTTGTATCTCTTTTTACAACTAAATTCCTATTTGTATTTTATTTTTATTGTTCGGGGCGTAGGGAACAAAGGGTGGGGGGGAGGGGGTGGGGGGTTATGAAAATGTGTATGTATGTGCCCGGGGGGAAGGGGAGGTGTTTTTTTCAATTTTGAATTCTCTTATACAGTTGAGGCATTTCCACCGCATTCCTCATAACGACGGATGTTATGCCCTAACCATGTAACTGGAAGAAATATTATGAAAATCTTTTTAAAAATAATTATCATTGTTCCAAACCCATCGCCGATGTCGATCTATGGCTCCTCAGTAATTTAACAAAGAATCAACCCTCTCTGAGAATAATGATATGAAAGTACAGTCGTCTAACTTTAGTGTTCAGTCACATCATTTACACCAGAAACAGGAAGAGTTTTTAAAATTCTTTATTCATTTATAATTTGTTGTGGTTGTTTTTTTGCTTTTTAACGTGTTGAAAAATGTTTGAAAACCAGTTACACTGTTATTGGGAGACACAAAAGAAATGAACAGTCTCGGCATGGTTCTGTGGTCTATACCACCTCCTTGACTTTGCTGGTAAAACAATCGAGAAAAAAATCAATGCTTACACCAGAATGTAGCGTGTACCTTTGGAGGCTGGAGTGGTACACTTATGAAATGTAAACATCCAACTGCTTTGATACCTCGCCGATGTTTCTCAACTCCGTCAGTTCAAGAATTCTCTCTCTCTCTCTCTCTCTCTCTCTCTCTCTCTCTCTCTCTCTCTCTCTCTCTCTCTCTCTGTGTATCTCTCTCTCTCCCTCTCTCTCTCTCCAAAATCT